GTGGCTGGTGGCATCGTGCTGGTCATCCTTGCCCACCTGGTCTGGGTACACCTGTAGGACGCCTTGTATCAGTTTGGGATGAGGTCTGAGACGTCGTGCCCCATGCTGGGTGCCCAGTAAAGGTTGGAATGGTGGAACGTGGCCTCACACGACTCCAGCGGCCCTCTGCCAGGTGTGTGTGTACAGTGAGTGTCAACTGGGCCCAGTGGCATTAGCTAGAGCCCAGGACTAGATTGAAGCCTTTTTGAGGAAAGAGGACTTGTTCATCTTTATCTGTGGCACAGAATCTTGTGCATAATAAGTTCATAATAAGTAGTTGATGATTTTAATGCTCCTTTGAAAATTAAGTTGGAAGTTGAGAAGGGAAGTTAAAACTAAGATTTTTTTTCTTCTAAAAATAGCCGATGCAGTATTTTACTTTAAATATTTTTTTGGTCTTTTTGTTGAACTGAAGAATGGAATAAAATTATGAACGTAGATTTTTACAACTCAAAGCTGGGATCTCCTTAGATGTTAAATTTTTGCATGCCTGTCTGTTTGTAAAAAGATAAGAAGTCCTTATGACTTTGATTGGCTTTTGGTTAACTTAAGAGTGAAAGTGATTGTGTATTACGTCTATAGACTAAACTTTCTATCATAATTTTCTGTGTCATTTACAATGCTCAGTGGCAGATGAAGCTGTGCATCGATACACTTGTTGCCAGACCAAGACTCAGCTTTGACTAAAGAACCGTGGATTTCTTATGGCTCTTAAGTCTTTACTTTATTGCTTACTGTTGTGTTAGCCTCATTGACTCATTTTTGACTATTTATCCATTTAACCATAATCTCATATAGCTGAGTTACGGGTTTTCCTTTTAATTTGAGGACCTAAGAGTGAAAAACAAGAAAGCTAAGTATGCCATATTGCCATGTAAGGGCCCCTCTCGCTCCAGGCTGTCTTTAATCGCTGGTCCGGGAGGGTCTTTCTGTTGAGAATGAAGTGAATATACGTGTCAGTTACTTAGTAATTCTTCGGTATGTTTCAGCGTTTAGATATACAGATGTTGTTAAAAGCTTGAGAAATATAATTAGATTGTTTAATCTTTTTATGTTCATTGAATTGAATGTAGATATCCAAAGAAAACTTTTATTTCCGTAAAAACAGCAAAAGATTGTTTTCTAGGCAAATACATTTTCTATTTGAGTGGATGCCTTCTACAATTGTTGAGTCATAGTTCTCTGGTTCCATTTTACCTGCGGTCATCTTGGTAAGAATTGAGGTGGCAAAAGGAGGAACAGCATAAGGTTTTAAATAGTCTCCTGTGGATTCAAAAAAAAAAGGAACCCTTCTATACATCTTTAAAAAAAAGAACACAGCTGTAGTAAGAATTCAGTTCTTTGAGAGGGAGTCTGTTATATGTTTTCTGACTATCCCAGATAATACACACAGGAAGCCCTTAATAAAATTTTATTTCATGTATGAATGAGAATAATTTGTTTTTAGGGTCCTGATGAAGAAGCTGTTGTGGATCTTGGTAAAACCAGCTCAACTGTGAATACCAAGTTTGAAAAAGAAGAACTAGAAAGTAAGTTTGTTTAAAATAACTTACTGTGTTTAGCAGGATAAATTAGTAATGAAAGTTTGTTATTGCCCTTTATGTTTTACATACTGTTTGTTGAAACATTTTTATTGTTGTGAGGTAGAGCACATGTTTAGAAGAGTGCTCAACACTTTTCTGAGTATAAAGAATAATACTGCAGACACCTGTGTAACCACATCTGTATCTAGAGATACACCATTGCCAGTACCCCCAGGAATAATCCCCACACGTGCCCATCCTGATTATTTACTGTTTGTTGAGATTATTGGCATAACAGATTTCAGAATGCTTTTCAAACTTCACTGATGGCACCATTACTTCACTTGGAAAATTGAGAGACCATAGCTACAAAATCAGATAATTCTTTTATTTTTTTATTTCTAGCAATCTGGGTAATTTGTATTATGAGCAAACTAGAGTACCAGATTAATAAGCCACAGTTATTATCGGCTGTCATCTAAATGTTCATTTTATAGGTCTGTTACATCAGCCTTTTAAAATGCGACCATAAACTCAGCATAGAATTATAGAGCAAGTGAATTACTGTATACCCTTCACCCAGCTTCTTCTAATGTTAACATCTTACATAACCATCATACATTTACCTAATGAAGACATTAACACTGGTACAATACTATTAACTAAACTACAGATTGTATTCAGATTTCACCAGTTTTTCCAGTATGTCTTTTTTTCTGTTCCAGGGTCCAGTTCAAGATCCCACCATAGTCCATCCAGTGGTCATGTTTCCTTAGCATTCTCCAGTCTCTGACAGTTTCTCAGTCTTTCTTTGCCTTTCACGACCTTG